ATCATGAAATGGATATTTTTTGATCCACCAGGCTATAAAGTTGGGTGTACATGGTGGCACTCATCATCAAATGGAAGTGGTATATATGAGGTTGGCCTGAGCAGGTTCTGAGCACAGGGAGAAGTGACGCAAATTTCCATGGTTCCTACTTCTGCCATACTGTCTTCTCTCTTTTCATGGCTTCATGAGTAGTACTTTACAATCGGTTGACAGAGGAGGGACTAGTACCTGCTAGTACAGATAGTTCTGCATGATATGCTGGCACCACTCTAAAGTGGACAGCTGCAGCTCTCCGGCCCTTCCTGGGACATTCCTTAAGGACACTGGTGAAGGGAAATTCTCCTAATGGACAGAACATCAGGCAGGGCACCTGGTTGTGTACTTTGCTTAGAAGGAGAGATGACCAGACATGTAATTATATTCTGGTTCATGGGCTCAGCTGCTGGTTTGACTAGATGGTAGGGACTTGGATGAATCATGATTGGAAAATTTGTGATGAGAAAATTTGGGGAAGAGGTGTGTGAATAGACTTCTTGGAATGGGCAAAAAACCATGAAGGTATTCATGTTCCCTGTAAATGTGCACCAAAGGATGACCCAAGCTGCCTAGGATTTTAATAATGAAGTGGATAAGGTGACCCATTCTGTGGATGCCAGTCATTTCTTTCCCCAGCCACCACTATCATCACCCAAAAGGTTCATGATCAGAGGGTCCATGGTGGTAGGGATAGAGATTATGTATAAGCAACCTGGTGATCTGACTACAGCTTCTGTTCAGTGTCTAGTCTTTTGAAAGCAGAGATCAACACTGAGTTTCCAATTTGGCATCATTTCTTGGTGCAATCAGCTAGCTACCTGGTGGTAGGTTGATTACATTGGACTGTTTTCGTTATAGATGGATAGTGTTTTGTTCTTACTGGAATAGACAAGTTATTCCAGTTGTGGATTTGCCTTCCCTGCATTTGATGCTTCTGCCAAAACTACCACCCATGGGCTGATAGAATGTCTTACCCACCATCATGGTATTCACACAGCGTTGCTTCTGACCAAGGAACTCACTTCACACCCAATGAAGTACAACAATGTGTCCATGCTCATGGAATTCACTTGTCTTACCATGTTCCCCACCATTCTGCAGTCACCAGCTTTATAGAACTGTGGAATGGCCTTTTGAAGACTCAGTGAAAGCACCATTAGGTGTCAATACCATGCAGGGCTAAGGGAATGTTTTCTAGAACACTAAATGTGCTTTGAATCAGAGTCCCACAGATTCGGTGCTGTTTCCTTCATAGCCAGGATTCATGAGTGCAGGAATCAAGGGATGGAAATGGGAGTGGCATTACCCACTATACTAGTCACACACTAGCGAAACTTTACTTCTTATCCCTTTGACCATATGCTCTGCTAGCCTAAAGATCTTAGTTCCAGAAGGCAGAATGCTTCCACTAGCAAGGGAAGACACAACCATTTCAATGAACTGGCTAAGAAAGTGATGTGGCCACCTTGGACTTCTCATGCATCTGAATCAATAGGCAAAAAAGGGAGTTACTATGCTCCCTTGAATGCTGGAGTCATTGATTCTGACTACTGAGGAGAAATCGGACTGCTGTTCCTTCCACAATGGAATAAGGAATTAAGGAAGAGTATGTTTGGAATATGGGAGACTCCTCAGGGCATCTCTAGTATTACCATGTACAATAATCCAGGTCAATGGAAAACTACAACAGACTAAATCATGCTGGACACCTAATGACCCAGACCATTCAGGAATGAAGGTTTGAGTCCCCCAGAATGTAAGAAACAATACCCAGTTGAGGTGCTTGGTGAGGATAAAAATAATATGGACTAGGTAGTTGAAAAAGGTCATTATAAATGCCAAGCCACAACCATGTGTCCAGTTACAGAAATGATTTCTGTAATTGTCCTGGGTATTTTATTCTTACTTTGATAGGAATATATATGTGTGTGTGTTTGTATAGCCAATATCTTTGTTTTCTTTCTTAACCCCTTATCATGTAAAATGAGATGCACTGACTTATAGTATCTAAGTATTGCTAGCATTCCATTGTAGTTTTTAAGTCCCAGGATATCAAGGAATTGTGTAGACATAACTCAATGATATCCACTTTGGGGAAAAGATAGTGTGCTTTTATTTGTATGCAGCATAGTTATATCATATTAAATGGAATATGACTGTGTTATAGTCTTTATTTAGAAATTAAGTATCACTTGAGGATATGAATATGGGTACCAAATTTACAAGAAATGGACTTGCAATGTTTAATTTTATAAGTCAGCTTGGCTTCCTCCCTCTCCCTCAGGCCATGGTACCCAGCTATTTGGTCAAATATTATTCTGGATGTTTCCGTAAAGATGTTTTTTGGATGAGAATGACATTTCAATCAATGGACCTTGAGAATATTTGATTGCTCTCCAAAATGTGAGGGGTTACTTCCAATCACTTGAATGCCTTTGAAAGAAAAGGCTGACTTCCCTTAAGCAAAGGAGAATTCTGCCAGCAGATGCCCTTCAGACTTGAACTATACCTCTTCCTAGGATCTCCTGCATGGTGGCATTCTCCATCATTCCCCATCAGATTTTGTACTGGCCAAATTTCCACAATCTCATGAGCCTATTCTTTAAAATCAATCAATCCCTTCCCCCCCCCGTTTGTATGTATGTGTATATATGTGTGTGTACACATACACATACACACATATATTCTCTTTCTCTGGAAACCCTAACTAATACAGATGTCTTTATTCTGAAAGCTAACATGTACACTACTAGCTTCAGTTTTCCTCTTACACCGTTTTACTGGAGAAGAGCCTGGGGTAGACTATTAAGAGAGACTCCCTTTTGGGAAAACTGTGAGAAAACCTGGTAAGGCTAACATTTGTTGGTGTCCAACCAAGTAAGAATAATGCTTGTTGGGGTCATTGGAATTCCAAGGCTTATCTCCTTATTGGGTGATGTACCTTATGGGCCCACCTGCTACGGAAGTCAGGATCCCATGTTGCTCTCGATATGAGACTATACGATTTAACTATAAAAGTTGAAGAAGAAATGGAAGTTAGAGTTTATTTTGTGTTGGGCATGACTCCCTATGCCACTGCTCCCCCAAGGCACCACTGTGGTGCAGACCTAAGTGGTACTTTGGTACAAATGGACTGGCAGGTGGTTTATGTGGCTCCTCTGCCTATCTGTGCTGGTGAACAATGTACATTAGTTGTGACACATTGCACTCTTGTTAGGGATTTGGATTGCAGTGTCCAGCTTTGATGACACAACTGCAGTTTATGGGAGAGGTCCTCCCCAATCATTTAATCTTGGCATTTAGTAACATCTGCTCAAAGTGCTCACTGTCTCGATAGGAAAAAGCAGCCTTACTAAATTTGAACTTGGCTTCCATCTACTGTCGCCTCTAAAAACCAGAAGTTATTCTAAAGTGGGGAGATTCTTAAAAGGGTGGCCACACAAACCCAGTCTACTCGAGTAGACACTGCCCTCATTGAAAGTAGTGTGTTTAATAACTACACAGCTTTGTGATTCAGTAATTCCTTAGTGATAGCCATAATACTACAGGGTTGTACATGGATCTACACACTGGGCTTACTCAAAAGAAAATCCTTCCCTTGTTACCTAAGCAAAAGCTATCTTAAGAGTCAGGAAATTGGGTTTGCAAACATTTGGAAGTGAAGTAGATTGTAGACAACCAAGATTTCCCCTTAACCTCAAGGACATGTTTCCTCCAGGATGGTTCAAGCAATATCTTTTGCTTTTCGGTCTTACCAAAGGCGGGGCTGTCACTGTGCAGGCGAGAGGTGAGAAGGGTTATATGAGAGGGAACCCCCAACATGTAATTTATTTATAAACATTGTATATTTATTTCTTACATGTTTAAACTTCAGTCACCCACAAAGTACTCTCTGTTTGATGCAATACACCTACTGAGATGCTTTTTTTTCTATTGGTGAAAACAGTTGTACTGGTGAATTTTGATGCCTTTTAGTGTTTCCGCCTGTTTTGCTTTCACCTTTTCCAAAGTGGCAGAATGTTTCCCTTGGAGGACTTTTTTTTTTTTTCAGTTAGGTCCAAGCAAAAAGTCACTTGGGGTGAGATTGGGTGAATTGGCAGTGTGGAGCATGGAGGCCATGCCATTTTTTTGTCAAAAATTGTTGAACACTTGGTGCTATGTGGGCTGATACATTGTCATGGTGGGAGAACCAGTCGCCTGTTTGCCACAACACAGGACATTTATTCTGAAAATTGTAATGCAACTTTCTCAATACTTCTAGATAAAAAACTTTGGTTAACTGGTTGATTCGCAGGAAGAAGTTCTGAGTGTATTACATGGGGCTCTCACTAAAAAGATAATTCTGTCTTTTGGGTTCCCCCTTCATAAATGTGCATCACCAGGGAGAAATAGGGAGTTGTTAAGTAAGTGGGAAATTATCCTTTTCAGGAAGAAGGGAGGCAGCTGTCCTGGGCCTGCTAACGTAAGTGAAGGAGTAGGAAGTTGTGAGGGCCGTACTCATCCCAGGAAAATGGGGGTTTAGGTAGTACAGGCTGCTCTGCAAGCTGCAGTCTCAAGACCACCTTGGGCAAGCCATACAGGTGAATGCAGGTAGAGGGAAGTGCAAGAACAGGTGAGTGGAGCTATAGATGATTGCAGTCCAGAGAGTGCAGGCACAGGTAAATGCAGGTATTGGTGAATGTAGGTACAGGTGAGTGTGAGTAGAGGTGAATGCAGGGACAGGTGAATGCTTCATCTATCTGCCTCATCCCCTACCCTTGATCTCATATGGAGCTCTGCATACTTCAGATGTTGGGTTTGTGATCAAATAAAGTGGAATCGACACCATTTGAGCCCAGACCATCATTCCTCTATGCCAGGCCAGTCTCACGTTCCAGCCCTCACACCCTAACACCCTACTTTCTTAACCTCTTCCAATTGAGACACAAGATCCATCTTGGCCCAAATACAAAGTTTTCCTTTATTGAAAGAGTGATTACAGATAGTTCTCCTGGCATCTGCATCCTTTCTCCTGGTCACTTGCAGCACTTGGCCTTCCCACCATAACAGGTGCCTTCAATTTTTTTATAGATTGGGCATGGGGAGTAGTGACAGGTTCCTCCACCCTTGACGCAATTGTAACCATCAGATCTTTGGCCAGGATAGGTAAGAGTGCCAGCACCTGTAAAAAGAACAAAAACAAAAACAAAAGCCCTTTAGACTCATGGCTTGTAGTCATAGTGATGTGAGAACACCTGGTGAAAGCAGAACAAACAATTTTGCAAAGCACTAGAGTGAGTTTTTCTCCCAAGAAATTTGCTTGTGAGTGATCCCTGGGACTGCTCATGATATGAGGTGTCTGGTGACGCACTCCTCCTGGGGTGTGTCAGCTGTGGCCAAACACACACCAAGGATGAACAGGGTTGTGAGCAGGGTTTTCTTCTGCCTAGAGACTTTAAGGTGTGCATGGAATTCATGTTACTCCCCAAATAATTTTTCCACGTCTTATCATCCCCCAAACTCACATCCTCTTTGAGGACACAGAAAGAATGTGGCCATCCATAAGCCATGCAGAGGGGCCTCTGGCATCTGGAGAAACTAATGCTGTCAACACCTTGATCTCACACTTCCTGGCTTCAGAATTGTGAAGAAACAATTCCTCTTGGTATTTTGTATGGCAGCCTGAGCAGACTCTAACACCAGTTGCCACTGGCACCCTTGGAGACAGTATATTCGATCGCTACAGATCTCTATTTGTTGGAAAGGTGGTCTTTGTACCATTGAAACCATTGAAATTGTCCTCTCCATAACTTCCGTCCAATGTCTATTTTTTATCTATCTACCCACCCACCTACCTACCCACCTACCTACCTATCATCTATCTATCCATCTATCTATTCATTTTTGAGCTGAGTCTCACTCTGTTGTCTAGGCTAGAGTACATTGGCACAATCACAGTCACCACAGCCTCAACCTGCTGAGCTCAGGTGATCCTTCTGCCTCAGCCTTCAAGTAACTGGGACTACAGGCACATACCGCCTCACTTGGGTAATATTTTGATTTATTGTGGTGATGAGGTCTTGTTATGTTGTCCAGGCTGGTCTCAAACTCCTGGGCTCTGGTAATCCTCTTACCTCAGTTTCCTAAAGCACTGGGATTATGGGAGTGAGCCACTGCACCCAGCCCTTTTCTGTCTTCTGCAGCCCACTCTAATCACTCTTTAAGAAGGGAACCCCATTATTAGAAATTCTGCTTTTTCTCTTCTGTCTGAATGCCTAGTTTCCCTTCCCAATCCTAGTCATTCTCCTGTGAATATGTTCAGGCTGGTCAATAGGCTTTCTACAGCTCAAGGCCTGAAACACATACAAGCTAACTTTCATGTGCCCCACCATCCAAGAGCAAGGGAGGCATCACTTCCCTTCTTTTGTTCACTCTAGAGCTGTGCCATCCAATATGGCTATTCAGATTTACATTTATTGAAATTACACCAGTCACAATGCAAATGCTCATAGTCACATGTGGCTTAGAGGTTGCTGCATTCACTGAGCAGTGCAGAGAAAGAACATTTCCTTGACCCTAGAACATTCTTTTGGTCTGCGTTGCCATGGAGAGGGAAGATAATGGAGAGACATTCTGGTTTCTCCATCCCATTACTCAGGGAAGCACCTTGGGCCTAGCCCACTCAGTTCACAGAAAACAGAATCTCCTACTCTCCAGCTCGTGTTCTGTCTCTACATCATACTGATTCTTATTGTTGCGGTCCAAGATTGAACTAGGTTTTAATAACCTCACCACAGCGTTGATCTCAAGTAAGATCACACCCAAAAAGAATCACCAGGAGTCTTAGGTTTTATCTTTTCTTTCTCACTGAAGGCTCTCAGTACTGAAAGGATTCTTGGAGGATGCCTGGTCCAACCCCTGCTGCCAGACAGAATTTCCCCAAGTGACTATTTGTTACCAGAAAGATCAATGGTGCTCACAAATTTGAAAGCACTTTGCAATCAGGAAGATCTCTACTTCTTTTTCTTGATTGTTTTTCCCAGTAATAAAATTGTTTGTGTATATATAGATGCATACACATATACAACTATTTCTTTCTCCTTGACAAACTAATTCTAAACTTAAATGTGGTACATATATACAATGGAATACTATGCAGCCATAAAGAAGGACAAGCATGGACTTCGCAGCAACTTGGATGGATTTAGAGTTGATCACACCAGCGATCTATCACAGAAACAACAGAGTACTATATGTTCTCACTCATAAATGGACCTTGGACAATTGTAATACTACACGAAAGAGATTGGCAGTAGTGGGAAACTGTCAGGGGAGAGGGGGTGGAATTGGCAGTTGAGGGAAACTGCTAGGGGAGGGATGGGCACACCTCATCAACAAGGGTACCTGTATAATCAGTGTTTGTATACCTAACCCTGACTTGAACCCTACATCTTTATAATTAAAAAAAAATGCAAAGGTCCGAGAAAAGTCAAGACACACTTGGAGAAGGTGGGAGCACTTGCTTTATTGGATTTCAAGACTAATTTTAGAGCCATCATAATGAAGGCCATGCGATGATAACACAAGGGCCTTCAAACATATAAATGGAACCGAATAAGGAGTGTTGGAAGGGACTCACGCACATATGGAAATTGCTACAGCAGGGGCTCAGCAGAACAGTGAGAACAACGAGTCTTCTCAGTAGTCAGATCTGGGACAGTTGTATATTCGTGTTGGATAAAAAGTACGTGACCCTTACTTCATATCATGTAATCAAATACACACAGGCACACACACACTAACACCATTGCCAGATGGATTCTAATCCTAAATGTAAAAGGAGAAACAAAGAGCTTTTAGAAGGCAATATGGGAAACTGCCTTCATTTCTTTGGGGTAAAGAACGATTTCTTAAACAAGATATAAACAGCACTAGCCCTAAGGGAAAAGATGTGACACAGTTGACTGCACGAAAATAATGATGAAAACCTGTCTAAGGAAAGTCTTCATTGACAGAGTAAAAAATCAAGACAAGGCAAGAGTAGATATTCGGAATGTATATAATTGACAAAAAGCTGACAAAGACATAAAGAATGCCTACAAATCAATAAGAAAAGATAGATACGTGATGGAAAATAAGGGAAACACACAAACAGGTGTTTTACCAAAACATATACAAGTAGCCAGTAACTATATATAAAAGGGCTCAACTTATTATTTATCAGGGAAATACATGTTACAACACCCATGAATTACCACTACATTTGCAGATGGCTAAAATTTAAAAATGATCAACACTATTAAGTGTTGACAAGAAAATGGAATAAAGAGAACTCTCATTTACTGCTTGTGGGAGTGTAAATGAGTGTAAACAATTTTTGGAAAACAATTTGGCATTATCTATAAAAATTGGGTAAATGCATATCCAGTGAGCCTGCAATGCCACTCCCTTTCAGCATACAGAAATAGAGCCATGAGGGTACCTCCTGGTCAATAGAAAAGCATGCACAAACCAAGCTTTGTTATTCAACCTAAATATTAATGTGGTAAAATAAGTATGCTTCCTCCCCCTGCAGACATCAGCACTCAGCCCAACACAGTGAATCCCTAAAGACAATCAATTCTGTGTTAAGCAGGGCTGTCCAGGGCCTATCTCAGGATGGTGGTGGCTCCCTTAAGGGAGGACTGGGCTTGGACCCAGGTGGTTGGAGCCGCCCAGCTTCCACCTGGGGACGGGGGAGTGGGCTCCATTGTCTGCCCTTTCTGGAAGTTGGGCTGGTTTTGAGTACGCAGGGAGGAGATCATCCCCCTAGGAGCATGCACATCCTGTTTTTGGGGTGTGCCAGGGGGTTTCGTGTGTCATGGAGGTCAGAGCAGAGTGACCTGCCTGGGGCTTTTCAGCAACTCATGATGCCAGCTGCTGTCTTTGTTATGAATGATGAGTGGTTTAGTAGTCCCTGCACATCCTTAGAAAACCCTTTCATACCTTACTCTTTAAATGAGGTGCTCGTAATCACATTAGACATCATAGACAGAAGAGAAAACTTGGTGTTAGAAAAATGACTTTTCTAAATAAATAAAATAAAAAGTGACTTCTGAACCCTTTTGAGTTTGGATGGAACTGCTGTGAGAAAGAATCTAAAACACACACACACACCCCAAACTGAAATGTGAGCAAAATTCAATCCTTACTGCATGTTATGACTAGAGCCTTTAAAAGAACACATGGTTGCAACTCACCAAAATTGATTTCTCTAACTCCCACATGGGTCATAGCTGACAACATGAAAGACTGTATTTAGAGTGCTTCTGTACCCAGTTTCCAGATATGGAAACTGAGACAAAATTGGAGTAAATTATTCCTACCTGTAGCATAAAGTGATGGCCTGGGAAAAAGTTAATTGGATCTTGCGGAGAATTTTCGAGCTGGGATGATTTTAGAGTCACTGGCTCCAGCTTCCTGTTTTAAATCCTAGCTTAGAAGCATGGGATTTGCTCAAGATTACCATGAGTGCGGGATAGGGCTGTGCTGAAGTGTGTCCCAGGTTCTTCCTGCAGAGTCCCGCTGTCGCACCAGAGACATGGCTGCTCTGGCCCAGAGAAGCTGGCATCCCCTCCTTGATGGAAGGCACCCTCCCATTGACTGGGGGCTCCCTGGCCTGCAGCACTTGGAGGATTTCTCAGGGGAAGTGAAACCAGCCTGCCTGCACTCAAGCTGAGTCCTGGGTGTTTGCTGAGCTGGCCTGGTGATAGTGGTGCAGCATCTTGCTTACTGCAGGGCACCTAGAGAGGCTGCACTCAGGGACCTGGGTTGGCGATGGGGCTGGTGCCACTCTCTGCATGGGAGGCAGGGTCTCATTGCAAGGAAGCTTCCTGCAGAGAGGGAGCAATCCCAGGTAAACGGGCTACTTTCTAAATGTCCAGGAGGAGCACCCCGAGGAGGAGCATCCTGAAAAAGAACTCCCTGAGGAGCGGCTCCTGTGCTGCTCAAGGGAACAGCTTATGGCCCCTGAAGCTCTGGCATACTTGCCGGCCACCTTCCGCTGACCTCAGGCCACTCAACCTGCCACTTGTGCCTGTAGACATCGAGGCTGCTGTCCTTGGCAGCCCCAGCATCCCCAGCCCAGGGGATGGAGTACTCTAACAGGTCCCGGCACTTACCTGGATTCATCTGGGAAAAGAGCAAGCAGACAGTCAACAGCAGAAGGTAAGGGGTCCCCATGGGAGTCGGTGAGCTGGAGATGGTTTCAGGAGAGGAGGCTTGGCTGCTGGAGAGGCTGAGTCGAGGAGGCTTTCAGAGGCTGGTGTGTCGCCGTATTTATAGTGCTGAGGATTGCACAATCTATGGATGGAGCTGAAGGGTAGTGTCGCAATCCAGGGGAACTTCTAATAACCAACTTTTCCTGTCACTTGCTCTGAGTCTGCTACAAGTCACATGGCACATTGACTGGATCTGGCTGCAGCTGGATGTAGCTTTCAGCCTGGATACCTGGCGTGGGAACCTCCTGCCAGGTCTGGTTTTTAGGTCAGGCAGTTCTGAGGGGGTTATAGAGAGAGAGAGAGGGAGAGACAGAGAAGTAGATGCACAGAGAGACAAAGTCTTTCCTCCCCTATCCCCAACCTTTGGCCCACCATCCCACTTGCTCTGGGCAAGAGCAGATGCTGTGTCTGTTTGGCAGAGTCTGGGTCATAGCACCAGCTGCAAGGGACTCTGGGAAAGCAAGAACATTGGGTATTCAGCAGCTTTGGTAGGTTGTTTTTGCCTGCCACCAAACTCTGAAATTGGAGAGTTTCTGAAAACCTCTAAGTCTATTAGATGTTGGGTGAACAAATGAAAGTGACAAGAGTCAGTTACATTCAGATTCACCAATTCTCTCATTTGCTGATTCTAGCACATTTGTTTGGTTTCACTATGTGCCAGGAAAGTGTTTAGAGGCTTGGGGTACCTTGCAGAATAAGCTTTATGGTCCTCCCCACCCCAAGTAGACTGGGAAGGCAGGAGAGCAGACAGGTCGTCAGGTAGAGCCTCCCAGGTGCTCTGACAGTGGCGTGCTGGGACCATCCTGGGAGCTCTGGAAGCTGCCTCACCAGGCTCAGGAGGTCGATCCTCACCACCTCTTTATAGTGGTATCCTTTCAGCTAACTCATAGGATGGTTCACAGAAGGTGCTTAAGAGACATGATTAAAGAGCTTAAGAAACACTTGGGGGGAGGTTGAGCAGTGGCTCAGAGTAGAAAGGAGACCCCTCTTTGAGTTCCTTCCTCTCTCAGCACTTGTAGAGATTGCAAACTCTTGGAGAGGCAGGTAGCATAGAGATTAGAGAATTTTTCTTTCCAGATTATCTCCCCAGGATTCTCTTTTACTAGCTCTATGACCTTGGGAAATTTGTTTCAATTCTTTCACCTCAGTGATTTTCTTCTCTAAACTGAGGATACAATTGCCTGGCCAAGGAATGCCACTGAGGCTAAATAAGAAAATGAATGAAATATCTCCCAACGCTGTGAGGCATGATGTGTCTCTGAGTTCTGATGTGTCCAGAGATACCAGGAGTGAGAGGAATCTAAAACCCTGTGAAAGATAAGCTTGATTTTCAGGATTGACTTTTTCTGCTCAGAAGCTGGGAGATACTTTGCTTTTGAAGGTTACAACACAGACTCTCAACTATCCTGTGAAAAATCTCCTGGTTTGTGTCTCAGAAACCTGCCTTAATTCCAGCGTGGGGACATCACCTGTTACACCCATGCCTGTCAACAGCAGAAAGCAGAGTGCATTTCATGACCCCTTTGGAACTGAGTGCCAGGCCCGAAGGCTGAAGTTCAGGTATGGCAAGAGGGGGGAACATGGCAGGATCCCAGGGAGGCCCGGTCCACTGACATGTGCCTGAAAGGAGTCACATACAAGCTGAAGGCAGCATCCACTCTAAATGAATCACTGGCATTGGAGTGAGATCTGGGTCAGAGCCCTGGTTTCATCACTCATGGTTGGCCCGGGCATGGCCACTGCTGGTGGGCACAGACAAGGGCACCGATGGCTACTTTGGAGGCAGAGAGTGTGTGGGGCTGTGACATCCTGGGGACAAGGCCACTGGCCCCTGGGTTGAATGACAAGCTAATGGAAGAAAAGCTGCCTGTGATGAGGTCTCAGGTAGATGGAGGCTGAGCAGATGAAGATATGGTGATAGAATAAGTCAGGCATAGAAGGACTAAGGTCAACATTTGAGGGGTGTGTGATATGTACAGTTAGGCTTATTTATTTAATTTTTTGAGTCACGGTGTCAGTCTGTCACCCAGGCTGGAGTGTAATGGCACCATCATGACTCATTGCAGCCTCGACCTCCTGAGCCCAGGCAGTCTTTCTGCCTCAGCCTCCCAAGTTGTAGGGACTATAGGCATGCACCAACATGCCTGGTTAATTTTTAGTTTTTTCTTTTTGGTCCAGCTGTGTGGCTCTGGCTTGTATCAAACTCCCAGACTGAAACAATTCTCCCACCTTAGTCCTGGAAAGTACTGGGATTATGGGCATGAGCCATTGCACCCGGCCTGGTTTAGACTTTTGGTGCCATATTGATCTGTTTGGTTTTCTTCTTATGCAAAAGGAGGCTTTGGAAGATTTTCATCAGAGGTTGTAAATGTACCTGCTGCCATCTTAACAGAATCTGAGGACAATGTGGAAGGCGGATGTGGGAGGGTAGGACTGGTCCTGGGAGGACCCAGTAAGAAACTGGTGAGTCATTAGGGTCCAACTGAGGTGGGGAAGGGGTATGAAAGGAGACACGAATTAGAAGTGGAAATCAACCAAATCTGATGGTGGATGGAAGGAGCTGGATTTTTGGAACAATGTAAGTGCTGCCTGCACTTTTGGTTAACCCTTCACTTCCTCTAGGAGAGCAAACTCTTGGGCCTCCTGGTGGTGTTCTGTCCTGTGCTACTGTGCTCCTGTGTGCTCCTTTGTGAAGTCCCCTCTCCAGAATTTTACAAAGAACAGCAACTCTCATTCTGCCCCATTGTGCCTGAAAACAGACTCAAGGCCTCGTATTTACATGTTGAGGCCACGTCTGGAAAGTTACTGTTCTAATCCTTATTGCATTTCATAAACAGTAATCATTAAAAAATTGTATGTTAGCCAAGTATATGCATCCGCTCCTTTTCAGGGAGGAACTTCAGATTTTTAAGGAACAAATTTTATTTTATTTTAGAATGGGGGGCATATGTGAAACTTTGTTGCATGATGGTGAGGTTTGGGTTTCTGATGCACCCACCAGCACCCCCAGTGGTAAGCATGGTACCCAATGGATGGTTTGAATTTCAGAGTTTTAAGTTATGGGTGGTTGCTTTGAGACTGTGCATGTCCCCTAAACAGTGAAAACAATTTCCACCACTATTCCTTGTTCCCTTGCACTCAGGAGATCTTGATTACCATCTGTCAAGATCATGTCTTTGGCCACTGGTCTCACAGGCCACACTACCGGCCACTGCCCAGAGCAGGAGCTGTTGGAGTCAGGTGAGTATCACACCTCTGGAGCACAAGACCTGACCATGCAGAGGTGATGGGAGAGTGAGATGGCAGGGGCTGTGTGGGGCAGCTCCAGCTTGGGGGTTCCATGGTCTTCAGGTCAAATGGGGCACTGTCCTTGTGTGGTGGAGTTGGGCCGGTTTCAGTCCCAACTCAGGGGTTCCTCAGAGAGGCAGATTCAGCTACATGGGTTGGTGCCGGCTCCTCAGTGCCAGGATGAAGGAACACGGAGGATACAGCCTGGTCAAGTGTCTCCCCGGTCAGGTATGATGCCACCACAAATGTGTCTAGTCCTCATAGCCATAGGAGGCTGTGTTTGAAGGGAGCTGAGGGAGCCCCTGAGTAACTCAGGCTGGATTCTAGGTGGCAGCTCAACAGGGAAGCAGGGACAGTGGGTAGGGTGCTAACCTGCCCTGATGCTAGGCGAGAACAGCTAAGTGTCACAGCACCAGAGGACTCTGCAGTGCCGTGTCCCCCCCAGACCCCAAAAGAGAAGACACTGTGTCCAAGAGGCCAAAGAAATGACCTGGAGACGATGGACAAGACATGGCCTTATTCAGAAACTTATAGGGAATATGGACCAGGAACAGCAAAAGGAGGCTTTGGAAGATTTGCTCCCAATTATAGGAAGAAATTGCTCCCAATTATAAAAGGGACACAGGTTAACTAGCATTTTTCAACAAGTGGAGTGTGAGGTTAAGCATGAAATGGATGAGATTTCTGTTGTACGGTTGTAGTGTGAGAATGCACTTATACATACATCGTGTGCACACAGAATGACTGGGAATTCTCTCCAGAGGTGGGATTTTTAGTGTTACAATAAACTAAAGGTGAGCTAAATGTAACCATGGCTATAGACACTTATCTAGGAGTGCCTGATCTGGTCTGATTCAGCCAGGGGACTGTGTCAAGAAAGGGTACACAGAAAATTCTATGCATAGCTGCAAGATATGGTCAGCAGATGTGGAGAACACTTGAAGTCTGGCCTCTGCATGACCTGAAGGGAAGGAGCATCCTAGATTGGACAAACTCCAGAATCCCTCGCAGGCTCCAACCCCCTGCTTGGGGCCAAATCTGGGATGTGCTCATGTCACTGAGAGGATGTGCTCATGTCTCTGCAGATTAAATATGTCAAAGTTGATGGATGAGGAGTGTTTCATGAGTGCTAGTTCTCACCATGTTGATTTCTTTGCTCTTACATATTATGAAATCATTATCCCATTTTCCTAGATGGAACACTGAGACTGGCAGTGAGTAATACTTCAACAGTGAATGAGTTAAGAGGGTCCAGAAGTGAACCCAGGTCACCAGCATAGAGGGTGAGCATCATCCTGGCTCTGGCAGAAAAGTCACCCAAGTGCATAGGATAAGACCCATGGATACCCAGTAGAATGTGAGTTTAGGCAGGAACTGGCTGGGTTGAGAATACCAGTCTTAGAACTTTTCCCTGTTGGTTTTATTTGTAAAATTAATGCATGTGTTGGAATAAGCTCAAACAATACTGGTACATAACAGCAGAAAAAGAAAGTTACCTTGAATTCTATTTCCCACAGATACACAAATTGCTAACAATTTGGATTCCCTCAGTTTATGACATTTTCCTCTATACTGATAAAGATGTCTCCTCAAGTATGCTTCTATACAGATGTATTTTGAAAGGAAAACACATTTTGATATGATGGGCAGTGTTTTTTCCTTTCTACTTAGCAGTGGT